AAATTTCTGTTGTATTTTACTGATTAGTAATACCCAACTTCTAAGATTAAAAGTTAATACAATTTCGACACTTTCTTAGTTGACTTTATCAAAATAAGTAAGAAATATCCACAAATTGTAATTCACAGAAAATTATTGACTGAAACCTGAGTAGGGAAGTGAACAGAGCTATTTATAAGAATGCCTACATTATGAAAAGCTGAACGAAGATCGTTGCAATCAAAACGTTCGTAGAGCCAAAAATGTATAAACAAATTAAGATATCTACCACTTGATGAATAGAAGGAAATTACGCTAGCAAAACGACATGAGTGGAGCTCATAGTAATGCCGAGTAGGGAACAAAGAGAACAATTAATTATGAAATATATTCACAAAAAGCACTACTAAAAAAGAAAAAAATTGCCATATTAGGGAAAGATTGGCAACACAAACTAGTAAAACGAGAAATCTAAGTTGAACTGCACATTAACTCATGCCATTAACTTCAATGCTCAAGGTATTTATATCAATACCTAGACAACTTTACCATATGCTGATCAAACATTCATAAAGATTCTGCAGTTTTTAATTATGGGGTCAGTACTTTCCTGTTATGTTGAAGTATTTGGTCCTCATATTCTCATACTGCAACTACTTCAATTCATAATCAGTTTCTTTAAAACAGAAAATCAACTAATATCATTTTATCATGATCCGATTGTTGTTTCACCTTAACATAATTAAAAAAGCAAACGTATAATGTAAGCAAGACCAGATCTTTTAAATGACAATGTTTAACAACGACAAGTCACTATGTAACTTTAAGAAAGTCACTTAAGCTTTACTGCGAACAATTGCAGATATTTTCTCAATTTTCAAATGTCCAAACAACCCTTACGTTATTTGGATCTTTTCGCGTAGATTTTAATGTTCAGTCTTGGAAGAGGGAGATTGCTCAACAACCACTTGCATTTAATTACACACGTTCATTAGTTACATCCAAGGGTTGGTTCGGTTCGAGTTCACACACCAGTGGCTGAAATCCAAGCACCTTAATCAATTAGCCGTAGGTCTAAACGGCAAAAGTGAGAAGCAAATATTTCGGTTAAAACAAGGTTTAGTTTACCGTATCAATCAAGTGTTTACTGTACAATAGGAAGTTAAAAACAGTTAAAGTTAATGGTACATAAATATAAAATCTTTCCACAAACAGTAAAATGCCATAGATGTACAGGAACAAAGCGGTAAATATACATTTAAAAAACCTAATACAATATATTTTATTGAAAGATGCAGTAGGGAGTGAAACACACTCTTACACAGAGGAGTCTACGAAAGTTTTCTCCACTCAATCAGAAGTTGAACTACTTTGAGAAGAATTTAAAGCTGATTCTAAAACGAATTTGCTGAAGTTTTTCTCAGTTTTTTTGGATATGGTAATGCCTTTAAATCCTAACTTCTTGGCAAGCTTTCGGCGCTGTGCGACACGCTTGCGTGTTGTTGATAAGACAAGATCTCGATCCAGAGGGGCGACGCCGGGACCTGTAGGGTTGCATGCTTCTTCGAGTGTTAGTCCTGTAAATATCTGCCTTCTTAAGGGGGAACGTTCAGTGTTTCTGCAGGACTTATGGGAGCGTTGATTTTTTTCAACTGAATTTTCGAAAATAGTTGGCAAACCCCTGTGTTTTGGGGGCGTATACTTATTAGGAAGATAGACGTTTGCAATGTCTGATGGTATGTGCAGAGGACTTTGAGGTCTGACATTTTCCAATTTATCTTGCGATAAGACAGATATCTTATCAGGTGACGCAGTAAAGCATGACTGTGCAGAAATATCCGTAAATGGTATATTATTTTCATTTTGGGCAGGCGAATGAGAAGAACTGCACGATGCGTCATAAGCTGCATTCGTCTACAAAAAAAGAATATTAATTTAAGTGTGGATTAGTACCATATATTACACATAGTTGAAGATACTAGCAATGTAAAGCATACTCTGATGTACCTAGCTAATAGCTATTCAGTTTGTACGTCCTATTTATTCGAGAACCAAGACGACGAAAATAGTGGCTTTTGAAATACAATATGATACATCAACAAAATTCAATCTACAAGAGGTGCACGCCGAGCATATCTTAGAGCAAGACAATGAAGTTCAAATGAGCATGTGCTCGAACCGTCACACAGACTAACGGAAAACCAACTTAAATGTGCACTATAGATTTGTACGACTGATGAACAAGGAGAGACGAGGAGAAAGGGGCTATTTATATCAATGACAACTAAATCAAAATGCTTGGTTCTCACACAAGGCGACTGGGTACTCAAAGTGGACAGAAGTGAGCGATTTCGCGAAAGCTAGCGACGGTTAACGAATGGAATAACTATTTGAATTCGGATATCTATATATATATCAGAACTGATATACGTAAATTAACAGACATGTAATTCATCTATGCAATCAAAGACAGTGCATACGTTAAAATGATAACATGGTGGTCCATTTTTTCACATGACCTATACCGCATTACTTTCAATATTTTGATTTATCGTTGAAAAGGACTACCAGTTGTTACATCTTAAAACAGAAGCACTGAAAAATTCGCACATAGAAAACGTGACGAATAATCGTAGTAGACTTTGATATAGCTAACAAATCCATCAGCCAACTGTGAACAATCCCAACACAGACTACATTCGAATGAGAAACAAGACCAATAAGGTAGTGTGTTATGGATATCCAATACGGTGAATCCGATAAATAAATACCTTGTCTTTTTACTGAAGTTTCAGTTTGGGAAATCTGAAATGAAGCAGTATGGAGAACAAAGATTACTAAACAGTGATAACATAAACACAGACCGTTAGTAGCACACAGGCAGAATGCTCTCCGACCACTGATGTGCATCGGGTTTCAAACCTAACCGACGTACACCTTTAATACGATAAGCCATTATTACAACTGCTAAGGAGTTAGGATTGGACATAAGGATAGCAAACCCAATACTCAGAAAATAACAGCTGCGACATAAACTAGTCTCCCCACCCATCTTCTGGGAGTCAGCCAAGGCTACATTAGTCGAGTGGCGGGACGAACTGCGAAGGAGCTTCCTGAGGACCGCGAAAGTTTACTTCACTACCAAAAAGCGAACACAAAGAAGTCAAATTGGCTTACAATAGCTCGTAAAGATCGATTTTGAGCATTGGATATTGGTCTGGCGGTTAATGCAAGTGAGGGAGCAATGTGGTGCATTAGGTAAGAGTAAGTGTGACACCTTGAACCCCCTTGACTTATGCGCATGTATGATTTATTGAGTAGGGAAAATAAGATTTCAGATCCAGGAATCATCAGAGATTTACTCTGAGGGAATATCTTATGACTTTTTGAATGGTGTCGCATACGATAGTAGCTCTAAACTGTTAGAAGTATGCATTCTGTGTAAGGGAGAGCTCCATGGACACTGGAGCGTTCAAAATGCAATTAACGACATATTTGTAAGCAAGACGAAGCATAAGAAGGCTTGACGTAAATGCCTGTGAAGTTAAAGTCGTCTGTACCATTGGTTGCAGAAAAGCTGATTCTTGGTATGGATCGTGTCAGTGGCAATTTCGTACTTTATCTTCCTTTCCAGGCATTAATCTTCAACAAGAGCTTAAAAATTAAACATCTAAGACTTGTATGTAATTTCCATTCAAAGTCTTCAGTATTCCCACGTGCTGTCGTCTTATATTGGTGTGCTGACTTATTTTCATTCTTGCGCACCCAAAGTAATTTGACGTTGAACATGTGTTTAGTATTACACCCTTGCCATTCTGCTGGGGACCCCATCCTGTAAAAATAAACGCTGCTACAGAAACTTCAAGCCTCAAGCTTGAGGCCCTTTGTTCCACTGGGACTGTGAAGGAATGAAAAAAAATAAACATAGGCGACTTATTCAACGTAGCAGACGCACTTACATGAGTTTGCGGATTAATCACTGACTTTCGACTATATCTTTTAGATGGGTGTGTTTGTCCACCAAGGGACGCTGCAGGTATGGATTTGCGGCGTAATCTCAAGGACCTTCTGAGAGTTCCACCCGAGTCGGCACTTTCTGGTGAGGAATCAATGATGTTTGTTAGGTCTAGAAGACCCATGATAGATCTCCTTCCGCGCTTAGATTCGCTAAGAGGGATAAAAGACAGACAATAATGGGCGTTCATCCTCTTATATTATTGCGGTAACTTATAAAGAATAAACATAGTGAATGCAAGTGCTTAATCAGTTAAATTTAATTGATTAAACACTTGCGTTTGCTTATATATACATGTTATATAACGAACGGACTGAAACTGACCTCATCGGACAAATTGTGACAACTGAAGCTCGGAGGCAGCTTCACCTGAAAAACAGGAAAGCGAACACACTGCCCAACAGCCCACACTAAACCACAAAGGGGGAACAATCCTGCGAGCAGAGCGAAAGACTATAGCAACGAGAAAAGTTCGTGGAGTACGTGACAAGTTGACTTAGGCGCGAAGACTCAATGTCCAATATCCAATATCGTTTTTACGAGCTAGTATAAACCAATTTGATTTCTTTGTGCTCGCTTCTTGATTGTGAGGTATAGGTTCCTGATCTTCGGTAAACTTCCGCGTAGCTTGTCCCGCCACTCGACTGTCGTAGCTTTCAAGTGTTGGTTTGTAGGGACTTGATTGGTTTCAGGATTTCATCATGAGCTGACATTAGTTAGAGAACCATTGGAAAACCTGGGAGTACTGGACAGCTTTTTCGTCCTAGTTTGGGACTCTTCATCAGTACGCACCCACCGGGATTCGAACCCAGGACCTTCCGGTTACAAGGTGAGCTCGTACACCATTAAGCCACTGGGACCCGATCCAATGGTCCTTGAATTCTAACTTCTGCCAATTCACGACATAGCGCGACCGCTAGCCAATGTCTTCGGCGAGTATTTGTCCTCACACCCGACCAGCTGCACCCTACTGGTCACGACTTCCCACTGGAACCCAGGTAACTACCTACCTGAATAGGGCCAGTCGCCAGTGAGCATATCATTGGTATTCAAGTGTTGGTTTGTAGGGAATTGATTGGTTTCAGGATTTCATCATGAGCTGACATTAGTAGCTTTGGTTGACTCCAAAGGGAGTAGTGCTGGGATTAATTATATGTGGTTTGTAGTACGAGGTATGTTAAGACTGTTACTACTGTGATCGGAGTTGATCCTTTCGCCAGTTAGTCCTTCGGTATCGTCGACAAGAGAAAAGAGATATTAATAATAATAATAATAATAGTAATAATAATAATAGATATAATTAGTGAAGCTATTCAGACTAAGAGACAGAAACGGAAATAGGAAACGTAACAACAGTCAGCTCATTAAGTTTGAAGAATAATATATATATCGGTAATAATAATAATAATAGTAATTATAATATTAATAAGTTGTCAGGAGAGTAAGACGGGAGAGAATGTAAAGAAGTAAAATGACGAGTTTAATTATCTACCCTGATTGGTATATGCGATTTTAAGGAGATAGGCCATTTGGATGCAGTCCTTGTATCGCTGCATGGTTGTCCAGCCTTCGCTTAAAGGCGTCCAAAGACGGTGCCATAGCTACATCTGCCGGCAAGGAATTCCAGGGACGACAAACCCGCAGTGAAAAGAAGTGGGAGCGCACCCGGGTCCTTGCCCTCTGGTGAGCTATCCTTCTGAGATTTCCACGTGGAAGCCTATACCTACTCAATGGCAGGACACCTTTGTTTGGGTGATTCTGGTCATTTGTTATTTTGTAGGCAGTAATCAAATCCCCCCTAAGCCGACGGTAACTAAGTGTGAACAGGCCTAATTTCTTCAGCCTTTCATCATATGGTTTGTTTCGGAGACCAACCACTCCTTTTGTTGCCCGTCGTTGGACTCTTTCCAAGAGGTTAGCGTCTCTTCTCAGCATTGGGGGTGCAATAATATTATGCACCTCAAGGTGTGGCCTGACGTATGTTTTGCACAACATTAGAAAGAGCTCAGGAGTGAGTGCACCTAACTGTCTATGCGTAAAGTGTATGACCGCATATGCCCTCGCTACATCCCCTGTGTAATTTACGCTTGTGTCCATTTTTTCCGTTAGAACTAGACCTAAGTCGCGTTCTGACGTTGTGCAGGACAAGCTTTCATTGCACAGGGTGTAACTTCCACTCTGCAGTCTACAGGTGCGCAACTTCACTACTTTGCACTTTTTCAAGTTGAAAGTCATGCCACTGGCCACCGCCCAGTCTTCCAGAAGGTTTAGGTCTTCCTGTAGCCTATCTGAGTCCTCCGGACACTTTATCGCCCTCCATATTTTTACGTCGTCAGCGTACAGGAGAGTCGGGCAGCTCAGACGGTGTGGTAGATCATTGATGAAAATCAAAAACATCAGTGGTCCTAGGATAGAACCCTGCGACACTCCTGATGACGATCTGTGCCAAGATGATCGGACTCGGTTAACCTTAGTGCAAAATTGCCTGTCGGCTAGGTAGTCCTTCAACCATGACAGAAGTGGCTCACCTATGCCTGCCTGGCTTATTTTATGCAGGAGAAGGTCATGGTGAACAGGGTCAAATGCCTTCTCAAAGTCTAGGAAGACCACATGGACTGGTACGTTCATGTCCCAGCATGATGTCCAGTCGTCCCAAGCTGACAGTAGGTTAGTGACGCAGGATCTGCCTTTTCTGAAACCATCTTGGGCTTCATGTAGTATATTAGTCCTATCGAAATATTCCCTGATGTGGTCGTCAATAATACTTTCCAGCTGTTTTGATACCACTGGGAGTAGAGCTACTGGTCTATAGCTAGCAGCGTTTTGCCTGTCCCCACCCTTGAAGATTGGAGAAAGGATGGCTCTTTTCCACTCCCTTGGCAGGGTCCCCGAATCCATTGAGTGTTGGAACAAGTCGTACAGGGGTCTACAGAGAGCCTCGGCGCACTGTTTCAGAACAGATGGCCTGATGTCATCACAACCTGGGGACTTCCCAGGTATGAGTCGCTGTAGCTTCCTTAGTACTATTGCGGGGTTTATTTGGGGAGTAGTCGCTAGGTCTTCCTCCTCTGAAATAGTGGTGCCACCATTTCGGTCCGTAACTGTAATATCCACATTGCTGTTTAGCTGTTTAGCGAAGGCTGAACTGAATGTTTCAGCCATCTCCAGACTAGTGAGATATTGACCGTTTGGGCCTACTAAGGCGCATGCCCCTTGGTTTGTCGGTTTTCTTTCCGACATGAATCGGTACAAGCTTTTAGGGCTTGATAGGAGTTTTTTAGCAAGGTTAGCCTGGAATGACCTTCTGTCCCTCCTGACTCTTGCATTACACCGGTTCCTGAGTTCGAGGTATGCATCATGGTCGGTCTGACTCTTAGATACACGCCACGTAAACCAAGCCTTCCGCTTTGCTTGCAGAATACGTTGCGTGCCTCTCTTCAACCATGACGTCTTTCTCTTGGGCTGTGTTGTGACTAAAGGGGTGGTATCCGAGATTGCTGTATGGATAATCTTTTTTACCACTTCCCAGCGTTCATCCACAGATAGGTCGTCCCATGCTAAGGGCCAGTCTGCGTCGGACAAGAGCCTCCGCATTTCAGCATAGTCAGCCTTGCTGTAGCACAGACATGGTCGCGTAACATCCCATTGCAAACGCTCACGGAGGACAAGATCGAAACCTATGACTGCATGGTCACTGCTTCCCAGAGGAGTCATGATCTGGACCTTTTCGACGAGTAGCTGGTCACTAGTTAGAATATAATCTAGTTTTGATGACTTTCCACTAGGGCCCCACCTAGTGTCGTCTCCAACATTCTCAGTCAGCCCCGTGTTTCGAATAGTTTGTAGTAGGTTTCGGCATCAACTCCAATCACAGTAGTAACAGTCTTAACATACCTCGTACTACAAACCACATATAATTAATCCCAGCACTACTCCCTTTGGAGTCAACCAAAGCTACTAATGTCAGCTCATGATGAAATCCTGAAACCAATCAAGTCCCTACAAACCAACACTTGAATACCAATGATATGCTCACTGGCGACTGGCCCTATTCAGGTAGGTAGTTACCTGGGTTCCAGTGGGAAGTCGTGACCAGTAGGGTGCAGCTGGTCGGGTGTGAGGACAAATACTCGCCGAAGACATTGGCTAGCGGTCGCGCTATGTCGTGAATTGGCAGAAGTTAGAATTCAAGGACCATTGGATCGGGTCCCAGTGGCTTAATGGTGTACGAGCTCACCTTGTAACCGGAAGGTCCTGGGTTCGAATCCCGGTGGGTGCGTACTGATGAAGAGTCCCAAACTAGGACGAAAAGCTGTCCAGTACTCCCAGGTTTTCCAATGGTTCTCTAACTAATGTCAGCTCATGATGAAATCCTGAAACCAATCAAGTCCCTACAAACCAACACTTGAAAGCTACGACAGTCGAGTGGCGGGACAAGCTACGCGGAAGTTTACCGAAGATCAGGAACCTATACCTCACAATCAAGAAGCGAGCACAAAGAAATCAAATTGGTTTATACTAGCTCGTAAAAACGATATTGGATATGGATATTGACATTGAGTCTTCGCGCCTAAGTCAACTTGTCACGTACTCCACGAACTTTTCTCGTTGCTATAGTCTTTCGCTCTGCTCGCAGGATTGTTCCCCCTTTGTGGTTTAGTGTGGGCTGTTGGGCAGTGTGTTCGCTTTCCTGTTTTTCAGGTGAAGCTGCCTCCGAGCTTCAGTTGTCACAATTTGTCCGATGAGGTCAGTTTCAGTCCGTTCGTTATATAACATGTATATATAAGCAAACGCAAGTGTTTAATCAATTAAATTTAACTGATTAAGCACTTGCATTCACTATGTTTATTCTTTATAAGTTACCGCAATAATATAAGAGGATGAACGCCCATTATTGTCTGTCTTTTATCCCTCTTAGCGAATCTAAGCGCGGAAGGAGATCTATCATGGGTCTTCTAGACCTAACAAACATCATTGATTCCTCACCAGAAAGTGCCGACTCGGGTGGAACTCTCAGAAGGTCCTTGAGATTACGCCGCAAATCCATACCTGCAGCGTCCCTTGGTGGACAAACACACCCATCTAAAAGATATAGTCGAAAGTCAGTGATTAATCCGCAAACTCATGTAAGTGCGTCTGCTACGTTGAATAAGTCGCCTATGTTTATTTTTTTTCATTCCTTCACAGTCCCAGTGGAACAAAGGGCCTCAAGCTTGAGGCTTGAAGTTTCTGTAGCAGCGTTTATTTTTACAGGATGGGGTCCCCAGCAGAATGGCAAGGGTGTAATACTAAACACATGTTCAACGTCAAATTACTTTGGGTGTGCAAGAATGAAAATAAGTCAGCACACCAATATAAGACGACAGCACGTGGGAATACTGAAGACTTTGAATGGAAATTACATACAAGTCTTAGATGTTTAATTTTTAAGCTCTTGTTGAAGATTAATGCCTGGAAAGGAAGATAAAGTACGAAATTGCCACTGACACGATCCATACCAAGAATCAGCTTTTCTGCAACCAATGGTACAGACGACTTTAACTTCACAGGCATTTACGTCAAGCCTTCTTATGCTTCGTCTTGCTTACAAATATGTCGTTAATTGCATTTTGAACGCTCCAGTGTCCATGGAGCTCTCCCTTACACAGAATGCATACTTCTAACAGTTTAGAGCTACTATCGTATGTGACACCATTCAAAAAGTCATAAGATATTCCCTCAGAGTAAATCTCTGATGATTCCTGGATCTGAAATCTTATTTTCCCTACTCAATAAATCATACATGCGCATAAGTCAAGGGGGTTCAAGGTGTCACACTTACTCTTACCTAATGCACCACATTGCTCCCTCACTTGCATTAACCGCCAGACCAATATCCAATGCTCAAAATCGATCTTTACGAGCTATTGTAAGCCAATTTGACTTCTTTGTGTTCGCTTTTTGGTAGTGAAGTAAACTTTCGCGGTCCTCAGGAAGCTCCTTCGCAGTTCGTCCCGCCACTCGACTAATG